ATGCTGAATTAAGTTGGTTCGGCCTATCGAGTCGGTGGACCATGAGAGAACCCCAGGAAAGTATTCCAAGAAGTCGCGTAACTGGTTACGAGCGGCGACGCCGACTGTAAACGATGAGGGCAGTATGTCCTCTAAGGAGGAGGTTTCTAGGGCAACGGCCGCCATAACGGTATTATGCATAAAGTCAAAATCGACGTCAGGGCTAGGCGGGTGAGGGAAAGTTTGGTCTTGGGCGAGTACTATGCGGCGGTCGTGGGCATAAACAATACAGTTATGGTTGGTGAGGAAATATAGACCTAAGACTACTGGCCAGGGGCTGGAAGGGGTAACTTAAAAGTCATGGGAAACAAGAGAGTCAGAAAATATGGTTAGGGAAATGGAGCCTGAGATCGGAGTCCGAGTGCCATTAGCGGCTCGTATAGGGCGAGGGCGAGGGAGCTGGTCTATATAACCAAGGAAATGTTGGGGGATGCTAGCTGGAGTGATAAGCGAAACGTTAGCACTAGTATCGATTAGAGCATTGACACTTATTCTCGATAAATATCGGAACTATGAAGGGTGAAACAGAAGCACTATTCAAAATAAGGGAAGGAATGGGTGACTTACAACGTTGGTTGTGGCCACATTGCTTTGCATCGAGACCGTAGGCGGTGCAGAAGCAACAGCCGAGGTTAAACTCAGGGTAGCGGACGGGTAGGGGTGGCTTCGGTTGGAGAGTGGGGGCTGGTCGTTGGGTGGATGGCGGCAGAAAGGTAGGGTGTGACGCCGGGAAAACGAAAACGGTTGAGCGGGGTACAGCCGGCCGGGGGAACGTGGGTGTCGGAGTTGGACACTTGAAGGAGGCTATTGCATTACAATTACATCGTCTCTCAGAATTTTGTCATTATTTCATATGGTCTTTGAAAAAAAAACTTCTAATGATAAAAGCTTATTACGACTATTATCTCAAGTTCATTTTCTGCTTGCAATCAAAATGTTAATCCCTTAACCTATGCCTTTGGCGCAAAGTTTTAACTAACAAACCTTTCTACATACAGTTATCTGCATAACTACATCCTATGGCATTTGTTTAAACAAATTTTTCTCGGTGCCTTAATTTAGACACTGTACACAAAGCTTTTAAAACATCCTGCGTCAACTGGAGCTGCAGTACTCGTTCCCTCAACCTAGAAATCGGAAAAAACAACCTATTATGTTGTAAATCACGTACGGTTACTTCATTTAAGTAACAAGCACATACAACTGGCAGTTGAGAGCAAACCAGAACAACTTGTTTGTCATTTTTTCCTTTGTATCGAAGAGCAAATTCCGGGTTGCAGTGTTGATGCCCTGACATCAATTATGTGTACGGTAACCAAAATGTCAAACAGTATCGTCAGTAGTTCAGGCTGGAGGGGAGGAGTGGTGAAAATAGATAGAGAATGAGCCCACAGCCGACTGGATGATCGGGAGTTAAGGGTGGGAGACACGGGCGTGGACAGGGTACGCAGAGAACAGACATTCACTCAGGAGGGAAGCACATGTCAGGGAGGCAGAGCACGGGTGAACTGGGATAGGCAGGCGACACGATAAAACTACTCCTGTCAAATCAACTGTTTAAAAAGGGGGTTTGTTATCGCAAGCCCAGAGCTATTTCCTGCTTCCTACCCACCACCACTAATTTGACCACGACCAATGCGTTATTTGTCTTCCTCGTTCAATATATATATATAAATATATTTGCGCTGAACTCGTAATTACATAAAACAAAATGCCAGTACGCCCGATTTCGAGGACAGACAACGTTTTCTGGAAGTGTTCTCACACTGACATAGAGCGAGATGCCCTTTTTAACATCAGTGCCATCATGAGCTGCTTCAGCCTGATACTTAATATTGGATTGCTTGTACTTCTCCTGTTTCTCAGAGGTAGACCGAGAATGTTTCTATGGCAGTTGCGTGCCATGACTGCTTCAGTGGTTGTCTACACTTTCATTAGGGCCTGTGACCGCGTAATACACCCACGACAGTCTCACAAGGACTTCATTTACGGTGCGTTTATGTGTCACATGTGGGCAAGCCGTTATATGTCCCTTGTGGCCTACACATTTGCGGTCCTGATCCTGAACTTCATAGTTGGCAATAGAGCGATTCAGATTGTCTGCAGATACCAACACTCCTTCTCCACGTCTGTTATTGCCGAGCTTGCCTATCTGAGTGGGTTCGGCTTAGTAAGCATCATCTGTATGATTCCTCAAACATTTTTAATGCAATGGGATGGCACCACATGCAAGTGTATTGACAGAGATATACCGTACGCCATATCTGTGTCTCTTTACGCAGAGACCTTCGTTCGATTCGGCCTGACTTCGATCATCAGCGTCACCATCTTGACCCTGTCTTGCTACAAAATATTCTACTGGGTGCGCAACACACCACCTAAGATGCTTTCGGACACATGGAATATCATATATCTGCCTGGCACTACGAAGGAACAGATGGAGGCGTACAGTCGACCGCAGGGTTGGATGACGGCCTCTCTCTGCACAATTCCACTTTCGGCAAATTTCCTACCAATCAGCATCTATGACACAGGGTATAAATTCATCTGCGCTGTGGGGTTGTGCAGAATAAGTGCAGACTCTACATTATACAGGATAGACCGACTTCTAACCGATGTTCAGCTCATTCTCTTCCCCATCATAATCACAGTTTACATCCCAGCACTGCGCGAATTAACTGTGCGCTCTTGCCAACGGCTCATCTCGCTGGGCCAGAAGTTACCATGCATGACACACAAACGCAGGCAGCAGAAGTCTTGAATTTGCCAGGCATGGATCATGGAAACAAAGTGTCATCTATAGTGATTGCCTTTCTCTGACATATCGAATGAATGCCTGCCATTTACTGAAGATCCTATATTCATCTTAAGCCTACAAGCCCCACTTCCTCGCCACAGGGAAACTTCAACCATCAATTAGACTGAAGGACTTTTTCATAGTGCATTTTTTTCAGCTTGTACTTACTGATCACACATTTGGACGCCTTTTGGAAAATGAAAAAAATGTTAAGCCATTATTAAAACTAAAAGGGAAGAGTTTATTTTTGTGAACGAATGGATAGTGGTTTCAGTAATCGATTAGAGAAATTCGTTTTAAGTAAGCGATCATTTTCCTCAGTTTCAATCCGTGCGTTAATTGTATATGTCAATGGAGCCGTTTATTTCTGAACTATGTTGACAAACA